ACTTTTATTGAAAGGTACTGTTAGAGCCAACAAACATCAGCCAAAAAATTCTTTCTTTTTACTTCAAAAAAACATTTGTCAATGAATGAAAGGAAAAAAAAAAAGAGAGAAGCAGAAAAGAATAAGTGTTCGATAAAGCAGAAGCTAAAAAATTTTGAACAACATCTATAATGGATTAGTAGATGAATCAAGGGGGAGGGATATGACGGGGACGTGTAGAGGCTGGGAGGGGGGAAAAGCGACAGTAGAAGGGGACCGGGCATCCCCAGGACAACTGGCTTGCCCATTTTGGTTACTCACATGGTTTGCAGAAATATAATCGACTTAGTTAGAGGTGCATAGATACAGATCTGTAGGTGGCAGTTATTTTTTTTTTGCTGCTGTTGGATAACTGCAGTTATCAGCTACTTGCTGATATTTTGAACATCAACAACAAAAGCTATAATACTTTTCCACAAACTTTTTGTTTTCTCTGCAAAAAAAAAAAATGAATCATTTTTTTTCAATGATTGAAACTTAAAAAAAAAATCCTATTCGGTTCCTCATTGATTTATTCTATTGATCATTCAGTCATTGTTATTATCATTTTCTATTTTATCGTCATCGTAGTTGTCGTCGTCGCCAGCATCGTCGTCATCGTTGTCATTATTGTTATCCTCTTTGATGACTTTGTTGTCTTCTTTGGCATTTTTCTCTTTCCTCTCTTTTTCTACTTCTTTTTTGTTTTACTAATGAAAATGGTTCTTTTTTTTTTTTTTTTCGGAGAAGAGCTGTGAAGAAATTTGAACAACAGCAACAACAAAAAAAAAAAAAAAAGAAGTAAATTAAATAGGCTTTGCTTAACTCAAATGAATGGCTTTATTTTCTCTTGGGGATATATGGCACTTTAACCCGATTTGCTTGTTTCTTTTGAAATCTTCCAATTTTATATGCTCACTTTCGTTTTTTGCAGCAATAATTTTTTTTTTCTCTGTACCCTCTTAAAAAAGCATAAATTATTTTATGTGCGTTATCTGAAATAATCTTTAAGAATGCAAGAGAAACAAAAAAAAAAAAACTTATTTAACAAAAATAGCTTATACACATCCATTGTAGTGGTAAATCGTTCTTAAAAGTGAAAAAAAAAAAATTGGACTACCATTAAATGATTCACCACTGATTTGTTAAATAAAATCTTCAGATACTATTTCAAGCTTTTCATTTCTTCTCAAATTAGTGGAAACGAAGAGAAAAAAACCAATTTCGACATATATTTTTTTTTATTTATTCATTTGTTCATATAGAAAATAAATCATTTTGTTTTCACCTACCTATAACATTTTTACTTACTTTCTTTTTGCAGGTATAGTTTTTTTTTTGATTAGTAAACAAAAACTTACAAAGATGGCGGTATGTATTAACAGCGGAAATAAAAGTGCTAAGCAATTTTGGAAAACTTTGACAGCATTGATGGCATTGTCGAAAGATAATCAGTTAAGAGCATTGCAGTATAGTGGAAGCCTTGCAACTTGCAAACTTCTCCTCGTGTTTACCATCCATCCATCCAACCGTTCAAAAGACTGCCGATGAGGTTTTAGCCGCCGTTGCTGTTGCTCCTACAACAACTACTGCTGCTGCTACTGATGCTGATGCTGAATGCTAATGGCACTGTCGTTTTTTTTTTGACTACTAAGCACTAGTGCTAATTGTGAACTAACTAAGATGTTGAAGAAGTAGAAGACGTTTGCTGACAAAAAACTTGACCATTTTTGTCAGCAATAAAATGGCTTAAACAGAACAGAACAAAAAAAAAACCCCCTACTAAATAGGTGTTTACAATTATTTATTTTTTGTTCAAACATTCGGTACAATAGAACTGCCTTTTTTTTTCAATCTAATTTTATAGTATACGGCAGTTATATGGATGAAGATTTCTAACTTTTTTTACAGAGCTGATTTTAAGTGAGTGAGTGGTTATGATTAATTACAGTCAGTGAAACAGTAGGCAATAAAATAAAAT